TGGTGGAGTTGAGCTCCTGCTTGGTGGAGTTGAGCTCCTGCTTGGTGGAGTTGAGCTCCTGCTCGGTCAGGCGCAGCAGGCGCCGGCTCTCCTCCAGGCCGGCTTGCAGGCGGTGGGCACTTTCTCCCAGGACGTGGCTCTTGGCTGCGTGCTCGCGAGACGCTTCCTGGAGCTGCCGGGAGGCCTGCAAGTCTGGAGAGAAAGTGGGCGCGGGTGAAGGTCTCTCCTCCCGGATTCTGGGCTGCGAGGTGGGGGTCAGCAGCCCTGGCTCTCCTGGTGGTGCCCCGGCCTCTGCGGAGGTGAGCAGGAACTGGGGGCCCCAGAGCAGGAGCGCTGCACAGGGGTGGAGGCTGCCCCCCAGCCTCCCATAGTGGGGCGGCCTGCGTGGGGACCGGCCCTCCCTCGAGTGCAGAGGGAGACCCCACACCTCCAGAAGGCCCTTCTTCTCCCTCCCCCACAAGAATCTGGGGGTCTGCCCCCTTGTTCCCTGGAGATTGTCAGGGTGCAAGTTGGAGCACCAAGTAGCTGCTACTCACACTCCACGCCAAGCGCAATGTTGGTGGCCAGAAGGAAGAGGCACAGAGCCAGGACTCCCAGCATGGGGCGGTTTGTCACTGAAAACAAAATCCAGATTCTTCTTAGTGCGAGGACACCCCCCCCCCCCCCCCTTGGCAAAATTGTTTCTTCCATGATGTGGAATGGAGGGATCACCTGGTGTCCTACTTTCCGCTTTCATTCTGCTTCTATTGAAACAGTTGCTGCTGTTATCCCACAGCTGAGTAAAGCTGGAATAACGTCCAGATCATAGGGTGATATAAAAATAATAAATCTGCAAACTCTTCTCCAAAATCTGCTCCCCACTTTTCTTGGTGTCTCCTTTCCCCCCTTTTCTGTTGCAAACACTCTCCATGTCCCTCTGCTGTCTCTGCCCCCCCCCCCCCCCCCACTTGCACACCTACATTGGTTCCAGAATAATGCCCAGTTCAAACACGGCTCTGTTTCCGCTGCCAAAAGAGTCTTTTTGTCTTTTTGTCACGCAAAGTGCTCACCTGAAAAGAATGGGAGCTCTTTCCCCCCCCCCCCCCCCATCAAGGGTGAGGCTTGGGGGTCTGAGCATCCCCTCCCCTTCCCTGTGGGATCCAAGACTTTTTCTTTACCTCCCTTGCTCAAAAGGTCCCCAGGAATCCGCTCCTTCAGATTCCCCACCTGGTCCCCAAAAGATCTCTGACAAGATCTCTGCCTCCCTTTTGCTTTCTCTCTTTCTAGGCAGCCCAGTGATCCAGTTTTCCAGTCCCTGAGAGGTTGCCACCAAGGGTGGGGGATCCACCTGTTCTCCAAAGCGCCAGAAGGCAGGACGAGAAGCAAGATGGAAACCTACCAAGGGGAGAAGCAACCTGGATCCAAGACGTTTCCTAACCGTCAGGACAATTAACCAGTGGAACAGAGGTTGCTACCAGAAGCTGTGGGGGCTCCAACACCGGAGAAGAGTCTGGGCAGCCACCTCTAAAAGGGTCTAGGGTCTCCTGCTTGAATAGGGGGTTGGACTGGAACAGGGTTGCCAACCGGTGGGCCAGGGAGAAAATTTTGGTGGTCCACAGAGAAATGTCACCCCCAAAGCATCCCACCCAAAGCAATCCAGGCTGCGCAGGAACACAAGGCGACGCCACCCACAATGGCCCGCAGGAACACAAGGCTGCGTCGCTTGCATTGCAAACAACACGTAGTGAGGGGAGGGGGGGGGACTTGCCCCACTCGCCCCACTCACCTGGCCTGGCCACCGGGCTGCTTCTTTCCGCTTCTTTCTTCTTCTGCTTTTGGCTGCAGGCAAGGAAAGCAGCCAAAGCCTTTCTCTCTCTCCTCAAACTCTGCCAGAAATGAGCCTTTGGGACCCTGCAAGGGATCCTGTTCCAAGAGGCTGTACCAATGCAACAAGTCTCACAAAGACTCATTTCTGGCATGGTTTGGGGGAGAGAAAGAAAGACGTCTGCTGCTTTCCTTGCATGAAGCCAAAAGTCTCTCCCCCCCCCCCCGAGAATGGAGCTGGAGATGGTAAAGAATGATCGATCAGTAGGAAAACGGGGTGGGGGATTTTTCTGCAGACAAGAGACCAAGGGAAAATCCCCCCAAAAGTCTCCAGGAAAATCCCCCACCCTGTTTTCCCACCAATTGATCATTCTCTATTTGGGACTGTAGGATACCCTCCCTCCCTCCCTCCCTCCCCCAAGAACAGAGCTGAAAAGCAGGTTAGTGAAGGAATGTGGCTGCCTTGGAGGGTGTGGGGGGGGGTGAGGGAGAGAGAGAACATCACTGGCAGTTTTCCGAGGTTAGATCGGATCTCTCTCTCTCTCCAACCAACGTCAGCAAGCCAAAAAAATTCATATTAGTGTCCCTGGGATTTAAAATTATGAGTTGGGTGGTCCCTGAGGTCCAAAAAGTTGGCAACCCCTGGACTAGAAGACCTGTCCAAGGCCCTTTCCAGCTCTATTCTGATTGATTGATGCTTGAATAAAGTTTGGCCATTTCTCCTTAACGTTATGATCCTCCCTTTGGGGGAAAAAATTCCTTTGGGGTTATTGAATTAAATCTTCCTTTCACCTTGTGCGAGGGCTCTCTGTCTTTGTCTCTCTCCCTGTGCCCTCCCCCTTACCCCCTCCCCCTCCCCTCCCCTCTGCTTTGCCTCTTTCAGTCCTTGCTGGTGTCTAAACACCCAGCTCCCTTTTCTCAGCTGAACTGAGCCGGTGGCTCTGCCTTGGAGAGAGGAACCAGCTGGGCACGTGCCACCTGAAGCCTCCTGCCAGCTGTCCAGGCGTAGGCAGGAGAGGCTTCTGGCAGCCTGGGGCCTTGGGGGGGGGGGGGGCACAGCTACTCACCTGGCCTCCAGCAGTGGCAAGAGGTGGCCCAGCATGGCAGCTCTGGGACACTCTTCTGGGGGCCACACTCTGCCACCTCTTTCTCCAGGCCCCGGGATACCTGGAGGTTCTCATAGGTGAGCTCCCCCTCGTTGGGCTCTGGAAGACAAAGGGGGTCAGGAAGGAGAGGACGGAGGGGAGCCCTGAAGGACCCTAACCAGGCTGACCCCTACCTTCCCCCTGGCTTTTCTCCGGAGGGCCTCTTGCAAACCGCAGGTCAGCATAGGTGATGCCCCCAGCCATGAGGCTGCACCCAGGACAGCCTGGAGCGGCAGAGAAAAAGGAACTGCAGCCAACGGGCAGAATCTACTCAATGCTCTCCTGGGGTGGCAGAAAGCAGAAGTAGCTCTGGTGGGTGGGGAGCAGCCGGCCAAGCCCAGCCCCGATTCCCCACAACTCTGGCCCTGTGGGCCGCCCCAAAGCTCCGTCTCCAGGGACTGAGCCGGCTGCCTCTGCGGACTTTCCCGGCCCAGCGAGACAGGAGCACTCGGTGAATGGCACATCCTTGCTGCCTCGAGGGTGGGCGAGCCAGAGGCTCTGGGAGGGGAATCGCTTGGTTCTGCTGCGCCATCATCTGCTCTTGGTGACCCCATCGACCTGCCCCAAGACCACTGTCCCTCCCTGGTCCTCCAATCTCCGCATGGTGCTTCTGTCCCCCAGGCTTCTGGCCCTCCTCCTCCTCCTCCTCCTCCTCCCACCTTTCCCAGCCTCCGAGCCCCCTCCGGAGAGCTGGGTCTTTGCAAAATGGGTCTCAACTATGACAATCTAAGCCTGAATATTTGTGCCTCAGATCAGAACCCGGGTTGATTTGTTCCAGGATCCATTTGTTTCCTTGGCTGTCCACCATATTCTCCGAAACCTTCTCCAAGGCCAAAGTTCAAAGGCCCCCGTGCTTCTCCTCTCCTGCTTCTTCAAAGTCCAACTTGTGCTTCCATCCAGGGTCCCAGGGAATACCATGATTTGCACTATCCTGATCTTTGGACTGAGCTGATCCCTTTGTTTCCCAGGCACCATCCTGATGTTTGTAGGAGAGGCAATCATGATAGCTGGGAATCTTCTCCAGGTCCTTCAGGGTTTTCCTCCCAAGTTCTTGTCTGCAGCATGTTCCTTGGCTGCTTCCTTCCTTCACAATCCCCGCTGCAGTGTCTTCCCAGTCAGTCATAAGACTGTTGCCGTGTCTCGGTCCCGTTTTTATTCTACTCCATGCAGAGTTTGCTGATCACTTCATGGCTTCGGCCATCAAAATGACAGCATTGGGCAGGTTAGCGATCTCCCTTGCTGCAGTTTTAAATCATGCTAATCTTGCTCCAATCCAGCTCCCCTCAATCTCCGTTCTGCACCCGGGCTGAATAAGGTAGGGGAGAGCGCTCAGCCTTGTCTTGTTTGCTCTCTGAAAAGGAAGGCATCCTCAGAGGGTCCCCCACACAGAAGAAGGACCCCCCACACACACACACCTCAGAAGGACCCCACCAACTGGCACCGGCAGTGCGGCTCAGACTAGAGAAACAACCAGCCTCCTCTGCCCCAGACGGAACGTGCTTGGTGTTCATTAGAGAACAAAACCGAAGGTGACCTGCTAAGAGAGGATGTGGCTGTCCTGCGGGTGGCCGTGCGATTTCAGAAGCCCCGGCTCAGCAACTTCTCACAAGGAAATTGCCACAAAAAGAGAAGAAAGGCAAGAAGACTGAGGAGGGGCTGGGGGTCCTGGGACGGTCCACGGCTGTCATGGTTGCCAGGACCTCTTGAGCCGGCAGGGAAGGCAAAGCCGCCATCAGCTCCAGGGCCAAAGCCACAATGAGGCCCGGCAGCCATTCCGGAAGAGGCTCTGCAGCAGGGAGGATGATAGACGGGTGGGGGGGGGGTTTCCTGCTTTGTCCACAGAGCCCCACTTTCACAAGACCCTCCCTCCAACCAGTTACCTGCAGGAAAGTCTCCTAAATGCCAGCAGCCTCCTGGATGACGTTTGCCAGCCCAGCCTCTGCCTGGGCCAGTGCTGCCTAGATAACTATATATAATTTATATATATTTATAATTTATATATAAATTTATATATAAATTTATATATAGATAATTTATGTAGATTACTCTACATAAATGACCTCTGTGATCATATTAAGAGCAATTGCGTTCTTTTCGCTGATGATGTAAAGCTGTTCAATACCACAGACAATACTGCTACCCTACAAAAGGATCTTGACTATGTATCAGAATGGTCAAACAAATGGCAACTTCAAATCTCAACAAATAAATGCTCTGTCTTACATATTGGCAAAAAAATCAGAAAATAAAATACAAGCTGAATAGTCAAGATCTTGTTGATGACCCAAGCTCTGTAAAGGACCTTGGAATACTTACCTCTAATGATCTAAGTGCTAGAGCCCACTGCAACTACATAGCCAAAAAGGCATTAAGAGTTGTTAACCTAATCCTACGTAGCTTTTTCTCTGGTAATATCACACTACTAACCAGAGCATACAAAACATTTGCTAGACCAATACTCGAATACAGTTCATCAGTCTGGAACCCACATTACATATCTGATATTAGCACAATTGAGAAAGTCCAGAAATATTTCACAAGAAGAGTTCTCCACTCCTCTACTCGCTGTAGAATACCTTATGCCACCAGACTTGAAATTCTAGAACTAGAAAACCTTGAATTACGCCGTCTTCGGTCTGATTTAAGCATGGTATATAAAATTATACATTGCAATGTCCTACCTGTCAATGAATACTTCAGCTTCAACCATAACAACACAAGAGCACACAATAGATACAAACTCAAAGTAAACCGCACCAAACTTGATTGCAGGAAATACGACTTCAGCAATAGAGTGGTCAATGTCTGGAATACTCTACCCGACTCTGTAGTTTCTTCCCCAAACCCCAAAAACTTTAACCTTAGACTGTCTACTATTGACCTCACCCTTTCCTAAGAGGTCTGTAGGGGGCGTGCATAAGCGCACCAACGTGCCTACCGTCCCTGCCCTATTGTTTCTCTTATTCTTCTTTTATTTTTCTTATATGTACCCATTTCATGTATTCACAACTATGTATACACTTATACTTATTATCTTGTAAACAATTGGCAAATCAAATCAAATAAATAAATAAATAAATAGATCCATGAACGATTCCATGCTGGACTTGGTTTCCAAGCCTTCAGTCAGGTCTGACATCTTCAGGTTGGCACCCCGCTGGCATCCTGCCATCAAAGGCTAAGGGGGGGGGGGGGAACGACGGGGGGGGGAAATAACCAGCAATAAAACTGTATTAATTGTGCTGGTAAAGAGGGAGGGGGAAAGTGACAGCTTTTTATTTTGCTTCTTAAGTGCTTCAGTTAACTCCATCATAGTTATATTGCTTTCTAACATTTTTTCAGTCTCTTTAGGTATCTTAGGTAAATTAGCATTCTGTAAATACTGCTTAACTCTTTCTTCATCAATATTGCTTATATAATTTCCCATAAAAATCTTGAATGATTTCCTTCTTCTCTTTGCTGCCATGCAAACTTGGCCTTGATCATCTATTAACTGCAATATTTTCCTTGATTCTTTCTCTTTTCTCAATTTATATGCTAACCATCTACCTGGTTTGTTTGCATCTTCAAAATAGTTCTGTTTAGCACCTCTAGTTTTCTGTGCTAATTCTTCTTTCTCTATTTGACCCATTTTGTGTTTAATTATATCCATTTTTAGCTTAATGTCCTTTTTCTGTGGTGTTTTCTGTAGCTCTTTTTCAAGTCTTTTATGCTCATCCTCTAGAACCTTAGTGGCTTGCCTTTTCCTAGTATTCCTTTTCCTTGTATAATCTATCATCAAGCCTCTAGCATATGCCTTCATTGTATCCCATACATTCTGAATTGATGTATCTTCTTTTTTTATTTTCTCTAATTCTTTCTCCATCCGCTGTGTAAAGTCTTTTTCCTTTAAAATAGTATTATTTAACATCCATCTCGATCTTCTTTTTTGTCCTTTCCATTTAATTGTCATTGGATTGTTGTCTGCCCAAGTACTTGTTTCAATATTTATTTCTTGAATATTAGATATTAATTCTGTTGACATCCATATCATATCTATTCTGGACCATGATAAGTGTCTATTTGAATAGAAGGTATATTGTTTAGTTTTAGCATTTCTTTCTCTCCATGTATCTTTTAAATTTAATTCATCAACCATTTTAAAAAAGGATTTTGGGAGAGTCTTTCTGTTTTGCTTTGTTGTTGTTGCTGTATAGTCCAATTTATTGTCTACAATTCCATTAAAATCTCCCATCATAACTATATTAGCATAGTCCAGTTCAATTATTTTCATATGTAATTTTTTGTAAAATTCTTCTTGTTTATCATTCGGAGCATAAATTGCAATCAGGAGTGTTTTCATATTATTGTCATTATTTCCACCATTAATACTCTTCCATCTTCATCAGTATAGATCAATTTTGCTGGGGTGGTCTCTTTAATATATAAAACCACTCCTCTTTTCTTACATTGGGTCAAGGAAGTAAATATTTTCCCTAATTTTGGCTGTACCAACAATTGTTCATATTGTTTTTTAATATGTACTTCTTGTAGACAAATTATATCAAATTTTAATTTCTCTAATTTATGAAAAAATTTCCTTCTTTTAACGGCTGAATTAAGTCCATTTATATTAATTGTAATCAATTTTTTCTCTTCCATGGTTATATTTTATAGTTGGGTTTAGCAGCTCTCATAGATCTTGGTTCACGTTGTTCTTTGGTTTCCACCTTTCCACCTACTGCGCCTCTTCTTTTTCAGTCCCCATTTGGTCCTCTTGGAATTCAATTAGTGAGATCTCTTTTTCTGCCTCTTCCTCTTTCCTTCCAAAAAATTCTGTATAAAATAATTCCGCTTTCTCAATTGAGTCAATTCTATGTCTCTGTTCTTGCCATGTGAACATTAACCCTTCTGGGATCAGCCATCTATAATTCACCTCTTTTTTCAGTAACATTTTAGTCAGGAATCAATATTCTCTTCTCATCTCTCTCACTCTTCTGGGTATTTGTTTTAAGACCACAATCTCCTTGCCTTTGTATTTCAACGTTTTCTCTCTTGCCACTTGCAATATTTGCATTTTAATGGCTTTCTTTGTAAATCTAATATGAACTTTTCTTGGTAGGCTATTTCTCATCGCATATCTTGTAAAAACTCGATATACCTCATCTATTCCATCCATCATCTTCTCTTCAGTTATTTCCAAAGCTTCAGCCAATATTTCTATCATTATCTCAGCTAGATTTTGTCCTTTTTCTTCCTC